AAAAAAAAAAAAAAAGAGTGTATTTTTTGCTTCAACAGGGAAATAATACTTAATAGAAATTAATATTTAAGCCCCCTAAAATATATTAAATACACAATACCAAGTAGGAACAATATAGAATCTTCTGGAAATTCAGGCTGGCAGATGGTGACCAAAGAGGATAAATATGCCTTGAAATAGTATATAGTAGAGTACACAGTACTACTTCTTAAGGGCTTTACATCCCGGTCTCCTAACAAACAGAAAGCTGATATATCTTATGGACATAATAGCCCAATAATATCAAGGTTAATTTTAGCCGTAGACAGTGCTTTAACTGGGCTAAGGATGATGATGGTATACTCGGTGCTTAACCATGCCTATGTAACAGCCGTTGGATTCTCCCCTTTTTCCTTTTCCCCAAACACATGCACACACATTTATATAATACTAGTATGTTCATGTTTGTGACACACACACACATGCGCACACACAGAAACACACATGCCAGAACTGTACTTCCAACTCAGTAGCTGCAAGAGCAGAAGTGTTCTTGTAGCTTGGTCATCCCCCTTGGATCTCAGACTTTCCCATATAATCACTCCCACCCCCACTACTACATACACAACACCCTGCAATCCAGAAAGCAAAAGTAAATCTGACTGCGGAAGAGGAAACAGTAGCCTTAAAACAGTAAAAGAACCACCCAGACTATAATATATGTTAATAAGTAGGGAACATGATTTGGGACCATTTAAAAATAAAGTACTAGGGAATATTTCCATAATATTTGTAGACTTCTCTTTAAGAAAAGTCAAATAAGAACAACAAACTTATAGAAAATAATAAATTAGAAATGTCAAGTTTACAAAAGGTTTTCCACATTCCAACTTTGGTAGGAAAAACAGTATAAATTTATTTTATTTCTTCCTTTGCAAAAATCCTAAGACGTGTTCTTATTCTGATAATGCTCCAGAAAATGTTATCACAAAACCCAGAGGGGACTCCTGCATCGTACTCTCTGTAGAAAAGGTTTTTTTCTTTCACCCCACTCCTGAAAACTTTTTAAATAGCTCTGGTATAACAACAATAATTTATATCATAGAGATTTTTTTTTTCCAAATGAAGAACCTTATAAATGTCTTATTCTGTATATTAGAAAACTGAATTGCAGTGGAGTAAGTAAATTGTTCAGTCTCACAAGGAACCAGGGCAAAGCCAAAATTAAATTCAAGTCTAATAAACTGTGAAGAGAGTGATCTGTCCCCAAGGCAGAATAGTTCAGTTACTATGGGTAATGGTCCTTCTAAAACAGCACAATTAAAATCTGTCATAAGGATACAATAATGCCATTTATGAATGTATGTGTGAGACAGAATGTTATGTTTATCACTGAGTTCCCATTGTTTCATTCATAGCACTTATTTCTTCATACTTTCTATACACATTTACTTGCCATTAAATTAGGAGATGCTTCATGGTAGGAACCAAATCTTACCACTTTTATACATGTAGCACATTGCCTGGAATACAACAGGCATTCAGTAATATGGGTGTGTTTGTGTGTAAAATTTCATAGACCCAACAGACCTACAGTCAACATCTCCTCCCAGCTACCAAAACAAATCATGGTGAGAACGTCTGAACTTCACTAATGATGTTAGCCAACTCCACGTACTAAAGAAGAATAAAAATATGATCAATATAAGCTACTCTAATAATAGCAATGCACAGAGATACCCAATAACCTTAGTATTATTTGTTAGAGTGTTTAAGTATATAAACTAAGGTAGCCAAGAATGAATTCACATTATTTAACTCTAGTTAATCAATACCTTGTTATCATCACAAGCTGATTCCCCCAAATGGTGTATTATCCTAACTATTTCTTCTTGTTTCTGAGATGTATCCTGTGACCAACTAGTTACTTAGTGGCGGCTATACCAGAGTGCACCAGAATGAAAATAAGAGGAGAAATAAATTCCAGTCAGTCCTTCTTACTACTTATTAACAGCTTTTATGAGGTGCTTTGGTGAGGTAGTAGGATAAAAATGAAAACCAAATTCAGTTTGGGGATTATAACAACACGTGGCACTTTGTCCTTTAAAAAACTCATTTACTTATATCTCGTTCAACTGTGAGGTTTATTCATCCATATTACTCTCGACCTCCATTACAATAGAGAATGGGCTGAAAGAGTTATTTTCTGGGCCTAATTTTTAACATGTCCTCCAGAGTTACCTTTATTTTTCTTTTAAAATTTTTCTATAATCTTACCTCCCAGTCCAAATAATCACAGACATCTTCAAAGTTAGTGAGCAGAGACACTGAGCAGAAAAGCCGTGGCAGCTCATCCCTTGTCATTGGGGGAAAACGGCTATCTTTAAGGGCACTGTTAAAAACAAAGCAAATATTAAAGCAATCACTGGATATGAAAGTTGCCAATTTCAAATGCAAACAATTGTTTGAAAAAGGTAAGAGTTTCAAAAAGAATCAGTAAGATGTCAAAGGTACCAATAAGCTTCAAATGTATTCAAATTCCTTTAGAAGTCACCTTTTTTTTCATTTAATAGATTGTGTTTGCTAGCCAATCTTGTGACCACTTCAATTGTAAAGAGTGAATCATCAATTACATTTCCTGTACAGCCATTTCCTGATGTCTTTCCCTGCTACTTGTAGAATCTAAGAATGTTTTATTTTGCTTTTGAGAAGAATAAAAACTCGACTAGTGGAAACTTGCAGGAAGGTTTCTGGATCTAGTGCTGGTGGCAGTAAAAATAAATTATATATATGTGTGTGTGCATGTGTGTATGTATACACATATGTGTATGTGTGTGTATACATATATATGCATACACATACACATATACACAATATTGTCTTAAAAAAAGATCATACTAGGAAGGCCAGTCACCATAGAATAGCACTCGAAGAATTCAAAGGAAGATCGAAATTTCATTTTCTTCAAGAAAAAAAAAAACAAAGAAAATGGAAATAATAATGCAAATTATAGACTAAAAATATTCATAAGAATTTCAGGCCCCCTATAAAGGATAATTTAACATATGACGCAAAAATTGTGAAACTACAGGAAATAGGGCTAATCTAGGAAATAAAAGTATGATTAGGAGACCATTAATCACGTCAATGAATTTCTGAGTACATCAACTCTGATTGGATCCTGTAATCAAGTGTAGTATATCATAGTGCCAAACTCTAGAAAAACCCCACTGTAAAATGTGGAAAAACCGTAATTCGTCCTGCAATGGAACAGAAAATACACACACACACACACACACACACACAGAGTGTGTGTGTTCCTTGTACTTTTAAAAGAAACCACTTCCTGATCAAGAAAAACAAACATACTTCTGATTGCCTACTATATTAATGGCACTACTGGTATTCATAACATCCATCTTCAAATGTCCTAGATAGGAGCCAGGCTTAGAAATATTTTCATGGATTAATCCTCAGAGGTTACAAACTCAGACTCTACAAACTGCTTGGGTCATAACATAGTTCCATAGCCTTGGAAAGAATTTAATTCCTTTTTCAGTGACTTTCTCACACTGAATTTTCTTTTTTTCATTTTCCCATCCCTTTGTTTGCATTCTGAAGCTCATCCACTGCGTTTTCATATTGCACCACATTTTGGTGCTCATTTTATCCTGCTATACAAAGGAAAATGCTTATAGGAAGATATAGAGATGTTATAGATGTATAAAATTATAAATGTTTTTCCCATTCAAGAAGCCAAGATTAACCAAGAAAATCAGGAAATCTGTGATAATTCATACTCTGAGAACAGCATTTCACTATTTTATAATTTAATGACGTAAATTTCCTATGGTTTGGCTTCTTTTATTTTCCTACTGACAAATAAAAGTTTAAAAAAATACTTGCAAGTTCTCATTCAAAGCCAAGATAAAGACGTGTGTGTGTAACAACCCACACCCCCCAACCCCACACAGGAAAGAAGTTCTAAAACACAGACCAGAATAATTGTATGCATAAAAAACAAAAGGCCAATCACATTTTCAGTTTTACTGTTAAAAGAAGAAAAAGAGAGTAAAAGACACATTATTCATTAGAATAATACAAAATATAATTTTAAGGGGTTATGGATTTTTTTTACTGTGGCAAAATATACATAACATAAAATTACTATTTTAGCCATTGTTAAGTATATAGTTCTGTAAAATTAATTATATTTGTGGTGTATCTATCACTATCTTCCATCTCCAGAACGTTTTCATCTTTCCAAACTGAAACTCTGTACCCATTAAATACTAACTCCCCATTCCTCCCGCCCCTAGTCCTGGCATAAAATGTAATTTAAATATACTTTTATAATTTCAAATAGTTATAGTAATACAGTCACTAATGTTTTTAATTCATAACACTTTTATTGAGATATAATTCACATACCACAAAATTCACCCTTTTAAAGTATATAATTCAATGGCTTTCAGTATATTCACAGTTATGCAACCATCACCATTATTCAATATTAGAACATTTTCATCATCCTTAAAAGAAAGCATGTACCCAATAGCAGTCAGTGAATATTGGCACCACTCCCAGCTCCTGGAAACCATTAATCTACTTTGTTTCTATGGATTTGCCTATTCTGCACATTCTGTATAAATGAAATCATACAATATATTGTCTTTAGCATCTGGCTTCTTTCACTTAGCATGTTTTGAGATTTCATCCATGTTGTAGCATGTATCAGTATTTCATTCTTTTCATTGCCTAATAGTATTTCACTGTATGGATACACCAAATTTTGTTACCTATTCATGGGTTGATGGACATTTGGGCTGTTCCCACTTTTTGCCTATTATAAATAATGCTGCTAAGGAATTGACATATAAGTTTTAATGTGGATGCATGTTTTCATTTCTCTTGGGTAGATAGGAGTGGAACTGCTGGATCATAAAGGTAATTCTACCTTTAACTTTTTGAGGAACCAACGAACTATTTCTCACAATGGCTGCACGATTCTACTTTCCCAGCAGCAATGTATGAGTTCCAGTTTCTCCACATCCACACCAATATTTGTTGTTGTCTGACCTTTTGAATATAGTGCTAGACCTTCTTTAATGAAGCACATTTTGTACCTAGCTGTAGCTTTTTCATTTTAAAAATACACATGCTGAAGTCGCTATACAGTTAATGTCTCAATACTTTGAGGCACATTATCATTTTGTTTAGTTCATTTCCTAGCAGACCAATAAAAGATAAATTCAAACTATTTGCAGTGCAATTCAAACTATTTCAAATCAATGAAATTTTCAAATACCTAAAACATAAGTGAGGATTAGGCTACAATGCTTTTCTCATGACATTGAGCCTTGTTGTTCACTCATTCTAGGCTTAAAAAAAAGAATGTTTAGAACAAGGAGTTAGTGGGAAAAAGCTAGAACAATGAATGGGATAAAATGACAATGGTGCCTCACCATGTCAAGGTTCAAATATACTGATTTCAAAGCTCTGAAATAGTAAAGGTTTGTTAGTCATGATGGGAATAGTCTGATTTTACAGGGACATTTAAACAAGACTTTTGATTCTTGCATTTTTTAGCCAGCTCTAAGTAATTTTTCATTAAATTCATGAACACAGAAAAATTCCAAAGGTAGGAAGTCCTCAATGTCTCCACATGTAAATTTCTAGGGAAATGAACTAGCAATGAAAGCCTAGCAAGGATTTAAGAGATTACAAAAAGATGAAAATACAGCTGGAGACTGACCTCAGAGCTGCCAGGCTGGTGTGGATAGCTGAAAAACAACAAGATTCAGCTTTCCTCAGCCAAGCTTTCCTTAACCAAGCTCTTTTTAGAATATGCAATGTTGAAATTGTGCTTTTAGAGAGAATACTGTAATCTGGAGTTGGGCAGTGACTTACTCAAGGTGACTCAGCTAAGTTAATGACAAGGGTAGGGATACAACCAAGATTTTCTGACTCAAGTCCAAAATTCTTTCGAGTATCTACATTTTAGTTGTCACCTTTGCATGGATTTGCTTTCAAATTTTAAAATTAAATGCTTGCCTTACTTGGCAATTCTGATCTCATACCTGTGGTACCTCTATCTAAGATGATAAATAATCATTCAGTAGCATTCATTAGTAGCCAAAGGGTAAACAGAGCTAGACTTCCTGTCTACTGGAAATCTGCAGGAGTAAAATATTTTAAAATATTAATACTGTCCATAGTAAGCATTTTATACCGAAGTAGTATCTGCCAATTTAAATTCTAGGCAGTCTAAGGAACTGACAAGGGGGTCCTGTAAGTAAATTCATATGAATTTCTCTTTGTTAGAATAGGAAGTCATTTTCTAATGTTTAAATATTGCTAGAAAAACAAAACAAAACAAAACAAAACACTTACATATAAAACCAGTCAGCTGCTCCATCACCCATTGGATAGATAAGCTTTAAACAATCACAGTTTAGTTCACATACCAAATTCAAATATATTCAATTCAAATTGGCACCTTCTCAAGAATACACCTCACCTAATTGAGAAGGAGCATTAACATTTGTCAAAGTTAAATAATGTTATGTAGTACTTTCATAAAAATGAACATTTGAAGAAAAGCTATTAAGAGTTTAGCTATGAAAGAACTAAAGAGTTTGTGACAGTGCCTGGAAACTATGCTAAAAAGAAAAAAAAGTCGCTGAAAATAGGCAAAACCTTAGATATTACAAGGCTCATCGTAAACAATACAGCATGCAACAGAAATAATTTAAGGGACTCTGTCTAGTCATTCGCTCACTTGTTCATTCACTTTCTAAAACATTGTTGAACTTAATCGATTAACTGCTGGAAAGTTATCAAACTGAGAGAGGCTTCATATTACATATTACTATTTTTCAGGACAAGGAAGTAATTAAAACCCAAATTAAAAATCCCTGTTGGGACAGGCAAAGAGAAGCAATTCAACTTGTATTAGTCTAAAACTAAAAGCAGTTTCTTCATGAGGGGTTTCAACCACCAGGAAATTCCATATTCTGTCATTCCCTGCTAGAGCTTCTGGAATAGAATGCATACGTGGCATGTTTGAACCTCAGAAACTCAGAATACTAGAATCCTAAACCCACATCTGAAAAATTAACTACCTCTCTTTCTCACTAAGTAGCAATTTTAGCTTTCTAAAATTCAAGAAGCAATGGACACAAAACAAAATGTAAAAATGTGTCTATTCATCAAACCTAAGGGTAGAGAGGAAGAACAAAAGACACAATTATGGTTAAGGAAGGAGGAAAGGTACCTTATTTTGGTGAGGGCTGTTACTCAAAATAAAAGTTTCAACTGTAAGCTATATGTACAGTGTTACTTAATTGGGAGATGGTTTTCCTCTTACAGTAATAAATAAAACCTTCTTGC